CTTTCCCAGAACCCTGCCCCAGGTGTTGGAACTGTGCCCGGAGGAGGGAGCAGACCCCGAGGGAGGCTGGGGAGGGGCTGCCGATGGTGAAGGCTGCTGTGTCTAGCTGTTCCCTTCCAGACCCACTCCCTCTGGGCTGTGTCCCCAGCTGGTCCAAGCCCTGATCCCTGGGATCTGGGGACCTCTTCCCATTTGCTGTTCCCTGAGAACCAGGCCTCCCTCTGGAGAGGATCACAAGCTTGGGTTTCACTCTGGGCTTGCTCTTGGAAACCCCCCAGGAGCTTGGCTCTGACCAAGATGTTTTGCTCCAGCCTCTTGCCAAATCCCCACTCCTCGGACATCAGCTTCACCTCCCGTGTCCTCGGCTGGGTGAGCTGGACGCCTGTGGGTCTGAGAAGACACCCGGGTTCCCGGCATCAGCTGGCCACCCTCTGCTTAAGAAAGCGCCAGGGTCGCGGCACCCCCTGGTGGCTGGTCCTAGGTAGTGTCCCTGCCCAGCCCAGGGAAGAAGGACCTGGCCCCAAGTCTGAGGGTTCAGGACGGGGAAGGGCAGGCATTGGCATGGACCTTCCCTGGGCCTCCAGCCATGGGCCTGGCTCTCCCCATGCTGAAGATACTGAGGCTAGTTCCAGCGACCGCAGTATGAAGATCTCTGAATCCCACCTCTCCGTTCCTCCGCAGCCAGATGGCTCCATTTCACATACAATACAGTGAGGCCCAGAGAGTGGGGAGCCAGGCCAGGGAGGCTGCCTGGAGCCTGGCATAATGGCCTCATTTATTGTGCTGCTCTGCCACTCACAAGGGAAGCACGACCCCAAAGTCCCCTTCCCGGTCCTTGTGAGTATCTTGTCCCTGGATTGCTGGTCAGCTTTGTCTGCCCCGAGCACTCAGTAGCCGGCAGGCTCCCCGCCTTTCCTGGAGTCCGAGGCAGCTGCCCAGCCACCAGGTGTGTGGACAATGGCTTGCACCACAGCGATGAAGGTGGATGCGATCTGGGTGTGATGGTGCCGGGTTTCCAGGGCTGCAGTCACTGCCTGGGGGTGGGAGGAGACAGGAAGCCTGAGCAGGGCTCCAGATGCCACCTGAACCATGCCTGTGTGGTCACAGGCCTCAGCCCAGGTGGTGCCATTTCAGGCCAGGTCATCAGGAAGAGCAGGTTGGGGCCTGTTTGGTCTCATTGGAGCAGGGGCTTGGCCCTCATGGCACAGGCGCTCCAGATGGTCCAGGCACCAGAGAGAGGACACCAACCATTGTCCACTCCATGATGATCCAGGCCTCCAGTCCAGGATGCCCTGGGACCCCACACCGTGACTCAGTTTCTCCAACCCCCAGCGCACCTGGTCAATGTTTCTCTCCACTGTTGTGACGTTGGGTAGAAGCTGGTCGTGCAGCCGGGGCTCCTCCACGGCCCGCTTCACGTCATAGCCGAACCAGAGGTTGTAGATGATGGCCTGGGCATGGGAGTGTGATCAGCATGGCCTGGGGGCTGTGCAGGGTGGGCAGAGCCAGGGAGAAAAGGGGTGACACATACCAGTGCAGTGGCCGTGGTGATCTGCGTGCCCCCAGAAGCTCCCACCACCATCCGGACCTGGCCATCCTGGCCCACCATGATTGCTGGGCACATGGACGAGAGCGGCTGCTTCCCTGCGGCCGACCGGAGAAGGCGGGGATGCCGGTCAGCTGCCTGCCCAGGACACACCCCCTTCTCCACCTTAGCCCCCCACCCCCGGACCTCCACCCCATACCTGGCTGGATGAAATTGGTGGGTGAGGGGGGCACCCCAAACTGATTGGTGATGTTGGGAGAGCTGAAGTCATCCATTTCATCATTGAACAGGATCCCACTGACTGGGGAGCGGACCTTGGAGCCAAAGCTACCGCCCAGCCAGGTCAGACAGCGCCTGACCTCGCTCGACCCAGCCTGGTCCCTATCCACCCACTGAGGCTCAGACTTACTCCCTGAGAGGCCCAGGATAAGCTACCAAGGCCAGGCCTCAGTTTTCCACCAGGAAAAGAGGTGATGGAGCCACCTTACTGGATAA